AAAGTAAAAATAAAATTCCAGGAAAAAATTTTTTTCTTTTAGGCAGTTTTCTCCATGAAGCCCTGGCTGTCTCGGAATTCACTCTGTAGACCAGGCTGACATCAGAGTCACAGAGATCCACCTGCCTCTGCCTCGGGCGTGCTGGGATTAAAAGCATGTGCCAACATTGCCTGGCACTTTTTTTTATAATAAAATTTTTCTAAATAATTAGCCATTTTTCGTGTGTATATGCATGTATGTATATGTTTTGGAGTGTGTGTGTGTGTGTGTGTGTGTGTGTGTGTGTTTGCGTGTGAGAGGACAGTCATGGGTGGCGTTATTCAGGCAAGGTCTGCTTCATTTTGAGATGGTGTTTCTCATTCATTTTAAGTTTATCAAGAAGGCTAGGCTGACCAATCAGTGAGTTCCAAGGATCTTCCCACCACCTTCCACCCAGCACTGGTATCACAAATATGGACCACCATGCCCCACTTTTGCACCCATGTGTTGTGGAGATTAGCTCAGGTCCTCACAGTGCATAGGAGTGCTTTACTCATGACTTTCTAGCTCTTGTCTGTTCTTGAACATATTATATTAAAATTCCCGTACATTAGTAAAGTAAATCTGACAATTTCCAGTTCATGGACAATCTAGACTCCTTTGGATTCTCTTCTGTTTCTTCTGTTTTAGATTATTTCAAAGCTGATCCCAGATATTACACTGCTATAGCCTAATTAGGAACTTGCTTCAATGGTTTTTGCTTGTTTATGTGTTTGTTTTTTAGGTCTGCCTCTTTCAGACTTTCAATATGACAGAGGCACCTTTACTGCCAGCTCCTCTGGGACATCTGGGTAGGAGCTGTGCCCATCACCTCAACTCTGGGAAGCAGTTGGTTAATGCTGCCACCAAGCATCTTATAGCATGCTGCCCAAAACCCCATTCAAGTGCTCAGCCTCCTGAAAGAGCCAGAGCTGTTCATGCAACTAGTATGAACCAGGAAGCCTTTTTCTTTTAAACATTAAATATAAACTGATTGGCCTAGTAGCTCAGGCTTTTCTTACTAACTAACTAATTCTTATAAATTATATTAGCCCATTATTCTTGTCTATGTTAGCCATGTGGCTTGGTGCCTTATTCGGCAAGATAGCCACATCTTGCTTCCTCTACATCTGTGTCACCACTGCAGACTGTGCTTTTCTATTCCTAGAATTTGGCTGTTCTTGTGGCCCCACTGCTACTTCCTGCCTAGTTGTCCCACCTCGACTTCCTGCCAGGCTACTGACCAATCAGCATTTTATTAAAATACGATTGACAGGGTACAAACCAGGAAGGAGCCATGTAGTTTTTGCTGCTACTGCTGAGTCAGGAAGCAGTACTGACTGCTCTTCCAGAGGATTCAGCTTCAATTCCCAGCACCCAAATGGTAGCTCACAACTGTCTGTATCTCCAGTTCCAGGGGATCTGACACACCCACACAGGCATACATACATACATGCAAAACACCAATGCACATAAAAATAAGTAAAACTTAAAAAAAAAAAAGAAAAAAGAAAAGGACAAGGACTCTCTATTCTGTAGCTCAGGCTGTCCTGGAAGTAGTTCTGTAGATCAGGCTGGCTTTGAACTTACAGAGATCCACATGCCTTTGTCTCTAGAGTTCTGGAATGAAAGGCATGTGTCACCATACCTGATAGTTTCAATGTTTTGACAATAGAGCTCTAAAAAAACCGCTTTAACTGTTAAGATATACTTTGTAATAAAAAACAAAGCAAAAGCAGAAGTTACATTGTTTTCCTTAAAGATATTTTCTAACAAGGCTCACACTCCTAATTCTACCTGGGAGGTAGTTCAAGAAAATTAGTACATGTCAAAGCTAGCCTAGTCTACATAATGAGTTCCAGGCAAACCAGGGCTATATCATGAAACTTTGTCTCAAAAACTCAATAAACAAACAGGTCCAATACCCTTACTATGAAGCAAAACCAAAACCTAAACACTAAAGCACAGCAAAAACAAATAAAACACCAAATTCAAAGGAACTCCACACCTCTCCTCTCTCCTTCTCAGTTGCCTATCAAGAAAATCCCCCCCTCTCTCCCAAGTACTTCCAGGCTTCGGTGTCAGTTCCTCACTAGGCTTTCCTAGACCCTGGCTCAGTAATTCTCATTTCCTCCTTAGCTTTTCAATACTGTCAAACAGAACTTTTTATGTGTCCCCTGTGGCAGGCTTTCTTCTGGGCCACTAATCAGCCCCCAAATCATGACACAGAGACTTATCTTTATCTATGAATGCTCGACCTTATTGTAAGAGTGTTCCACTAGCTCTTCTAACTTAAATTAACCTGTTTCTCTTCATCTATCTTGTGCCGCTTTTTATGTTTCTTTTATTTTGTATGTCCCACTCTATGTTGGTCTGTTTGGTGGCTGCCTGGCCCCGGACACTTAGACAAATCATGTGCCTTAGGCAGCAAGGTAAAATAGCTACACGTCTTAACATAATTTAACAAATGCAGCATAAGGTAGCACATCTTTCTTTACATAGTTAAAGTAATATCTGCAACATAAACAAATGTAACACATCTTTACATGGTTAAATAGTCAACTAAAGTCCCCTGTCCCCACTTTTTAGTTTTCCCTCAATTAAAGGATTGCTTCGATCTTAGTTACTAGCTATGGGTGGTGGATGTGGTTTGCGGGTTGGGAGGTAGTCTATTCAGATTTACAAGGAACCAAAGTGATTATTGACAATAGTAACAGTGTAACAATGAAAACCACAGATGCCCTTGGAGGGGGAGTCTGAGATAGATAAGCGCGCCCAAAGCCCAAAGCAGCTGGAAAACAATGTTGATAACAAAATGTCTTTTCAGAAAATTAGAAGACCTAAAGGCTGCCTGAGAATCTTTACAGTGTTTACAACTGTGCCCTCCCTGCCATAAATCATACCCAGTTTAAGCATTGCTGGGTACCAAATTCAGGATTTAATGCATGTGAGGCAACACCCTGCCACCAACGGAGCTATATCCCCTGGTCTCAACATTCAAACTCAAGAACGTGTATTCAGAGAGTCAACTTGAAGCAAGACCTGAAATTATGTAACTTTGATTTCTGCCACTTAATATAACAATACTTTGTTGAATCAAGTAGATAATACTTTTAGCCCCTTCAGGCCAGGGCAATGAGCAGTGCTGCATAGCCATACACAAACCTGGTGGAGCACGCCTGTAATCCCAGCATGGGAGACAGAGGTGGGGGCGTGGGAGGGTGGATCTCTGAGTTTGAGGCCAGATTGGTCTACAGAGTGAGTTCCAGCACAGCTAAGGCTACACAAAGAAATCCTGTCTAGGAAAATAAACAAAAAACCCCAAGAAGGGGGGGGGGAATTTGAGGGTTGGAGTGAAAGTAATTGTTAAATTCTTGCATGGAACATGTTTAATGAGTAGTTACTATAAGCCCTGTACAAAACAAGCTACATTTACTGACTGTATCACATGATACTTTGTGTATTAGTTTAACTCTCAAATGGTATTCAGAGGTGAAACGAGTGTAGGTCACTGGTGTGGTTAGCAAGGGTGAAGCATGGACTCATTAGCATAGGTGAAGTCTTGGGTTTTGTTCTTAGCTGATTTGGTACTTGTTACATAACCCAGATGGTCCTCCAATTCATGGCAGTCCTTCTGCCTCAACCTCCCAAGTGCTGGAATCACAGGTTTGTGCCCCTAAGCACTGCTTTCTTTATGGTCTTTTGATTTTTGACTCATAATTATATTTTCTTCTCCTTTATTTAGAAAGGTTTCTCTTTTCCAATATCTTCTGGTCTTTTAGAATATCGTTCTTTGCTCGTTTTAAACCCATCTTGAATTTGTGATAAGACTGTCTTGGGCCACAAAGATGGTTCAGTGGTTAAAGTGCTGCTGGACACCTGAGTTCACCTGGGCCCCACATGGTGAGAGAAGCAATTCTCATAGAAGTTTTTTTTTTCTGTCTTCTACATGTTGCCTCCCCAAATAAATAAAATGTGATAAAAATCTGTTATTAACTACCAGTGATTTTTAAGTCACTTTAATCAAACCGGCAGTTTCATTCATTCTGGCAACGAGACAGAATGACAACAGCTAATACCAAGATTGAGTGGTTCTTGGAGGTAGAGGCAGGTGGATCTTAGTAGGTTTTGAGACCATCCAGGGTTACACAAGATTCTGACTCATAAAAAACAAAAACAAAAAAATAGTGCTTGTAAAAATCTCTGATTTCATGTTCTAAGCTTAGTTTGCTGTGCCATCTTGAAATTTCTTCCTTTCTTTTTCTTTTTTTCTCTCTCTCTCTCCTTTCTTTCTTTCTTTCTTTTTTTTTTTTTTCCAAGACAGGGTTTCTCTTTGCAGCCCTGGGTGCCCTGGAACTTGCTTTGCAACAAACCAGGCTGGCCTCGAACTCAGGGATCCGCTTGACTCTGCCTCCCGAGTGTTGGAAATAAAGCCAAGGCGAGCACAACCACAGTCCTGGTTCATCTTGAAATTTCTAATCACTTTTGAACAAGGGTCTAGGCATCGCCTTTGTGCTCCAGCCAGAGCTTGCCAAGCAGGTCGAGGTCCTGTCCTCCATCCGCAACGGGCGTTCTGTTAAGGAGCTGTTGGACTTCTCCCTCGTGTGTTATCATGGGAAAATGGAGGCAGGAAGGTACAATAAAGCCACGAGCCAGAAGGCTGGGAGGGGTTTGAACCCAGCCTTGGGCTGGGCTGCGGAAAAGCCCATGCGCGGGCGGACCCGCGTCGGCGCCCCCTCCCCCTCGACGGCGAGCCGGGTGCTCCGTCCGCTCTCGGGCGCCTTCCTCCCAGTTCCCTAGGCGGCGGCGCGCGCTCGTCCCTGCGGGCGGGCACAGCGGTTGTGTGGCCTGCGAGTTTCCCCGAGTTCACGCAGGCCCTGCGGTTGGCATGGCAACGGTGCAACCTGTTCCAGAGCCGCCCGCCCGCTCCGCACACGCCGCTGCCACCGCCGGAGCCGGGGCCGGCGCCGCTCCCATGATGCACCGCGCCAGCCCAGTCCCCAGTGGGCCGCCATGTTGTCGGAGTGAAAGGTAAGGGGGAGCGAGAGCGCCGGCGAGCGAAGATCGGGGGGCCGGAATCCATCTTCATCCTACCGCTCCGCCCGTGAGTATCCGCACCCAGGTGACCCCAAACCGCGCTCCGGACTCCCAGCGAGTCGATGCGCCGCTCGTATTGGCGTTTGGCCGCGGTTGGCGGGGCGAGGAGGGCTTAGAGACGCCTCCGGGCCTGGCGGAGGCTCGGCGCTCGCTCCGCTCGTACGTGTTTGGGAGGCGGCAGCGAGGCCCTATTGTTATCCGCGAGGAGGGGGTGGGGAGCGGGCCGCGGCTGCGGCCGGGCCCGCAGGTACAGTCGGCGGCTCCGTGCCTCCGTGCGGCCCTGCTGGGAGTCTCTGGAGATTGGCGTTGGCCGTTCGGCTCGGCTCTTTGTTATTTCTTTATCTGTCTATTTATTTATTTATTTCGGGATGGGTTGGCGAAGCCCGGAGCCCTCCCTTGTGGCCGCGGAGTGGAAATTCGGTGCTCCCGCGGGTCCCTTGGACTTCTGGAGCTTCCGTGGCAGCGCCGAGGGAGGAACAATACATCGCTTTCGAAAGCGGCGGCGGGCCCCTGGCCACGGGCGAGACCCCACGGTGGTGGGGAGAGGGCGATTTTTGCAAGCCTTAGGTGCGGAGAGGTGGCCATCAGGAAGTTTCGGATCGCCTTTTGAGCTCCTGAGGTTTCTTGTGGCCTTTTGTTTCCGTGAGAGCGTGTGTGTTTCTTTTTCTTTTTTTTGGGGGGGGGGTGGTGGTGGTGCTCTTCCTCTTTGAGCCTCCGGGTTGTTAGTGTGCTTTTCTCTCCAAGGGGCTTTTCGAAAGCCTCTGGCAGGAGGAAAACCGTGTAGCTGCTCAGCGCTACAGTTTCGGTCCTCACGAACGTGGTTGGTAAACACGGGTCATTTGTTTTCTCGACAGTACCACTCCCACGTCAAGTGAGAAACGCTCCTGTAGTAACTTTTCTGCGGAGTAGTTCATCCCTCCCCCAAGGACCTCCCCCCCATCGAAGAACTCCCACACATTACCAAGAAAAGGCTTTAGCCTCACCATAACTTTGAAGAATTGTTCGTTTTCATTGTGCAAATTACGATAACGCTTCGTTACACTTGGTCATTTTGCTCACCCCATTAATGACTCTTATTATTAAGATGATTTATGAGGCCTTTTGGGCGTTCTGTTTTTAAAATCTGTTACTTCTGAAGCTAGGATTGTAGCTTTAGCTTTTAGTTTTGGTGGAAAAGTTACCAATGTGTTCCTCCCGCTAAAATAAGCCGCTACCTTTGGGGGTGTTAGTAAACAAAGTAACCATTTTGACCCATCCCTGATTGTAACTTTGTAAAACATTCTCGGGCTGAGCGCTTGGAAAGAACTACTGGGTTCTGAACTCGGAGTTAGTATTTTGCCTTTCCACGGTTGAATTCATCTTGTCCAAGGCCACAGCTTTTTGCAGTTGGGATTTGTTTAGTTTGGGGCTGTGATGAACTGCTTTAAGTTAAATTTATGTCCACAAAAGGTTGGTTCGGGGTGGTAAAATAAACACCTTTTAAACCGGACGTCTTAGTAAAAGGAGGTAGATTAAACCCTGCTGCTTTGTTTAGAGAAAACTCTCTAATAGTGATATTTAAAAAGTAAAAAACTGCAGCTTGATCTTTACAGACTGTGAAAAACTTGGTACTTCATTGTATTGTTAAAACGTCTGTTTTTTAAATAGTCATTTGTAAAACAATTTATTTCAATACTATACATAGCTATTAGTGAGCTTTCAGAGTTCCCTGAAAGGTAGCATCAGTTTCACGGTTTCTGGTACTTAGGTAACTGATTATTAATTTTTGTTTTGTCAGTCCTAAAATATTACAGAATTCTCCCAGACACTTGTTAGTGTTTAGATGTTGCTCACTTTTCAGTTGTCCCTCTTGCCAGAGTTTCTCTTGTCTGAGAAACTGCCTTGCCTCATTAGGTAAAGCAGGAAGTCTCAGGGCCTCCAGAGAGTCTTACAAAAGCCAATTGTTGTGCTTGAATATTTTTGTGAGTGACCCTTCCCCAGTTATTTTTTAGAATGAGATTGTTTTCAGGGACCAGGTTTTTCTTACTATGGAAATTCATTTTAGGTAACTTTTGACATTTACTATTTAAGAATTTTCTTGGAGATTGGTGCTCTGTTGCCTTGACTGGTCGGTAACTAAATTTGTGGAATTGTCAGCATAGTGATTTGAAATTTGTTAAAACCTTCATAATTTTTTTTTCTTAATTAGAAAGCTCCAAAAAAACTAAGGCATGGAGGAAAGACAAACTTACTTTCTTTGGAAACTGGCAGAGAGAGATTTTTTTTTTAGTTTAGTGGCAAAACTTGGGCTTTGCATCTCTTGGCCTAGGAAAATGTAGTATGCAGTCTGAGGGTAATGAGGTCTTTAGAGAGTCAAGTGAGGAGGTATTAGGCTGGCATTCACTTGGCAAAGGCTGATGATGAAACACCTGTGATTTTTTTGGTTTGTACTGAAGCCAAGACAGCATTTTATTCATGTGAGTCTAGAAGGCTAAAACTATTCTAGTATAAGGTTCTGTTGGATGGGGTTTAATTGGGGGGAAGGGGTTCGAAGATGGTATTGGAATTGTTGATTTATACCAGGCTTTTCCAAAGTATAGGTTTTGTCTTTTTTTAGTTAGTTATTTTTATTTTACGTGCATTGGTGTTTTACCTGCATGTATGTCTATGTGAGGGCGTTTGACGGTTGTGAGCTGCCATGTGGGTGCTGGGAACTGAACCTGGATCCTCTGGAAGAGCAGTTAGTGCTCTTAACCACTGAACCAAATGACAGCCCCCTTGTCATTTGTTAAGTGAATTCGTGGTGTTCCAGGTTGGCCTTAAACTCTCAAAGTTTAAATGTAAGCTGCCTTAGTCTTCCAGAGTGCTGGGATTACATATTAGGTTTTGAACAGATTGCAGATTGCTTTGTGACCTCTTACTTCTAGCTTCCAAACATGAATTAATTGTAAGAATTTTCCAGGAGGTTACTTATCTAATGAGAGAACATGGTTGGAGACTGGAGAGATGATGGTTCAGTAGTTAAGAGCACTTGGTGCATTGCGTATGTGGTGTATGCTTTTAATCCTAGTACTCAGGAGGCAGAGGCACATGGATCTCTGAGTTCAAGACCAGCCTGGTCAACAAAATAAGTTCCAGGACAGTCAGGGCGGTTACACAGAGAACCTGTCTTAAAAAACGAAAACAAAACAAAAAGGAGCACCTGGAGATGCTTTTGCAGAGGACATGTGGTGTTTTGTTCCCAGCACCCACATGGTGGCTTACAATCATCACTGACTCCAGTTTTTAGGGACATAATGCCCTCTTCTGACCTCAGACATTGCATGTACATGGTGCACATACAAGCAGGTAAAACATACCCAAAAGAAGAAAAAATACTTCCAAAAAGAGAAAACAGAGGGGGCTGGAGATATGGCTCAGTGGTTAAGAGCACTGACTGTTCTTCCAGAGGATCTGGGTGTAATTTCCAGCACCCACATGCCAGTTTACACCTGTCTGTAACTCCAGTTCAAGGGTATCTGATATGATATCTTCACACCAATGCATATAAAATAAAGTTGAATAATTTATTAAAAAAAGAGAGAAACAGTTTTTTAAAGATTTTATTTATTATATATACAATACAGTGTATGCCTGCATGCCAGAGGAGGGCACCAGATCTCATTGTAGATGGTTGTGAGCCACGATGTGGTTGCTGGGAATTGAACTGAGGACCTCTGAAAGAACAGTCAGCGTCCTTAACCTCTGAGCCATCTCTCCAGCCCGAGAAAACAGGTTTTTTACTTGTTTTGAGCAGTGCTGATATCCTTGGAAGTTACTCTAGTGGTAGCAGATAGGTGTATACTAATTGGTAACCCCTTTATTTTGTGTGTGCAAATATAAGTATTTGGTTTTGAGGAACTTAAGTAGCAATGCATCCTAGTAACATTTGATTTCTTTGTTGGATTTCCAGAAGAGTTTAATATCCTACAGATAACTAACTGCCAGGAGCGGTGGCCTACTTCTTTTTTGCCAGAAATCAGATAGGCAGATATCAGGGAGTTCAAGGCCAGCCTGGTTTCCACGTGGTGAGACTGTCTCAAAAAACCAAAAAAGATAAAAGTTATACTACTTCTAGGATTCTAGAGCGAACTAGGATTGGTTTCAGAATAGCTTGAGATCTCTGCTGCTTTAGATGGATGATGATAGCCCTGGGCTCCTCCTAACTTCTGTAATGTTTTACTTGTGAAAACAGGGCTACTAATGCTTCCCTTTCAGTGTTTCTGTGATGAGATAATGTCTGCCATGTATTTGCTACCCTATTCCTGTGGTGAGACAGACCTCTGGTTTTTACAGTGAGTTTAGTCCTGTTTCTAAGTTGATCATTAATGAATGTGATTGCTTTGTATTTGTAGGTTTCTAGTAAAAGTCTTGATTTCCCCCTTGTTATGAAACCACTGATGATCTTGGTTAGGATATATATTCTTGTCACAAAAACATGTTAGATATTTTGAAAGGTCCTTTGAAGTTACAGAATCTAAGCCATAGGCTTTTTTTGAAATTTATTTTTATTTTTTGTTTTATGGTGTTTTCCCTGTGTGAGGGTGTCAGAAGCCTTGGAACAGGAGTTACAGACAGGTGTGAGCCCCCATGTGGGTGCTGGGACTTGAACCTGCATCCTCGGGAAGAGCATCCAGTATTCTTCACTGCTGAGTCATATCTCTAGCCCCAACCCTAGGTTTTTTTTTTAATTGACATGTTTATATGTTTTTTTTAAAGTAAAATTGGAGCGTGGGGGAAGTCCAGGGGATTGAATCTAGGAGCTGTTGAGGCTAGGCAAGCACTGTACTGCTCCATTGAACTATACCTCCTGACTGTAAACTTACTGATGCTTTCAAAAGTTCCTGGTCACAGCCCTGTTGTTGCATGCCGGTGATCCCAGCACCCAGGAGGTGCAAGTAGAATCAGTAGTTCATGGCCAACTTTGGCTACCTATTACTATCAAAGCCAGCCTCAGTTACATGAAACCTCACCTCAAAGGGAAAGAAACCTGTTTATTTAAAGACTTAAGTACATTTGGCTTAAGGAGAAAGTAAGTTAAGTAGGGAAGCCATTGATTACATAGTGTTTATTTTTGTGATCCTAGGGCTCAAATCTAGGTCTCTATCATTTTTATTAGTAAAGTTTGGTTACAGTAGTGGGCCCTCATCTCAGCACCAGTTGAAGTGCTTGCTGCTCGTTACCTTTATTTCTGCACACACACTTTTCTTCTTGGTTGAGACGGGCTATACATGATTGTCTTGCAGAAGAGAAGGAATTGTTTAGCCTTTTGTACTGGAGTATATGGAATTGTTTTTTAAAAATACAAGAATTAAACATCTGTTAACTGTTTGTTCTTAGGTGTTGGTGGAATGAGCGTTGCATGTGTCTTGAAGAGAAAAGCAGTGCTTTGGCAGGACTCTTTCAGCCCCCACCTGAAACATCACCCTCAAGAACCAGCTAATCCCAACATGCCTGTTGTTTTGACATCTGGAACAGGGTCGCAAGCGCAGCCACAGCCAGCTGCAAATCAGGCTCTTGCAGCTGGGACACACTCCAGCCCTGTCCCAGGATCCATAGGAGTTGCAGGCCGTTCCCAGGACGACGCTATGGTGGACTACTTCTTTCAGAGGCAGCATGGTGAGCAGCTTGGGGGAGGAGGAAGTGGTGGAGGCGGCTATAATACTAGCAAACATCGATGGCCTACAGGGGATAACATTCATGCAGAACACCAGGTAAAAAAAGTTCCCTATTTCAGCTTTAAAACTCTTCTAATCACTGTCCGCTTAGGCTGTCTGCTTTCAATGACTTTCTTAAACTCTTTGATTGCTTATTTAGTTTGTTGTAATCAAGAGTCACTTCTTTTAAAGAATGGTTGCTTATTGTAATTGCCACTGGGTCATTTACCATTCTGGTGTTATATAGTAAATTCACTAAAGAAATCTCAAGACTGTTTTAATGTTCACAATGCATTTCTAGGAATATTGTTAACAAAATATCTGTTTTTCACCATTGATATGCTTTTAAGAATTGGATTTAATTATTTGGATTTAAATCAGAGCCTTTCTGTTGGCTTGGGTGACTTATCTTTAAGATGCTATTATTTGGAAGCAATGTGAGAATGTTTAAATTCCCAGGAAGAATTAAACTTGATGGTTGTTGCAAATGAAAAATTAAAGGAATATTGAAATAAAAAGATGTTATGGTTGAAAGTAGGGGAAATTAAGAAATCATCTGCTCACTTGAGGTTTGTTTGAAGTGGAACTGATGAGTGCTCAGTGTAAGGGTTGGTTGTGTCTTAGGGCCCCCTTCAAGGATTCTCTGGGTAGCCCTGACTATCCTGGAATTCACTCTGTAGACCAGGCTGGTTTTAAACCCAGAGACGGCCTACCTCTGCCTCCTGAATGCTGGGATCAGAGGTGTGCACCACACACTGGTGGTTTTACCTTCTTAATCAGAAGAAATATATTGAGCAGGTTGATCGTAGATCTTTGTTTTACTGGTGTAGGTATATGTAGATGAGGATGCTAGTGATAAGGCAAAGGAAATATCCGCTCCTGAGTCATTTTTATTTTTCTGAAGATCTATTTATTTTTTATGTATACAATATTCTGCCTGCATGTATGTCTGCAGGCCAGAAGAGGGCACTAGATTTCATTACAGTTGGTTGTGAGTCACCATGTGGTTGCTGGGAATCGAACTCAGGACCTCTGGAAGGACAGTGCTCTTAATCTCTAAGCCATCTCTCCAGCCCTCCTGAGTAATTTTTAATTTTTATTTTATACTTATTGCAAGGTACTTCATTTGTTTACTGTTAATGCAGGGCCATACCTTTTCTCCTTGGCAGTACTGAAGATAGAACCCTAGTCCTTTGAGCTTCATAGCCAATATCGCTATTTCTGAAAAATTATATCCTGAGAATTTTTTTTTTTTTTAGAGACTTGAAGGTAGTAATTAAATTTACTCATCTCTTTGAGACCAGCCTGATCTATAGAAAGAATTCTAGGGATAGTTCGATAGTTCGGCTACACACAGGAACCCTGTTTCCAAAAAAAAAAAAAAATTCCCCCAAACTTAGTATTCTTTTCTGTAGACTTTAGCATGTAGAAAACTTTGGGGCTGAGTTTGATGTCACGCACCTTTAATCACAGTATTTGGGAGGCAGAGGCGGGTGTAACTCTATGAGTTTAGGCCAGTCAAGACTATATGCCAACACCCTGTTTCAAAAACACCAAAAATAAAACATGGGAAGAAATCTATTGATTCCATGATTATCTAGCCTTTTGGTTTTTCAGTAAGGTTGTAGAAAACTGACATGGTAGAGGGAAAGGACTGGAATGCCAGGCCAAGATGTGATTCTCAAGTAGCATTGTTTCTAATAGGTTTCTAATTGTGTTCTAATGAGAAATGGGTAAGGACCAAGTCCCATTGGACAGTGTTTTAAGGATCTTTCTTTCTTTCTTTCTTTCTTTCTTTCTTTCTTTCTTTCTTTCT